TATTGTCTCACTCTTCATATGAGACTGAAAATAAAAGTTTTTAAAACGCCAAAAAAAAAAAATCAAATTAAGCCCGTTTTTAACTCAAAAATAAAACAACTTAAAAATGTTTTAAAAACTTCTGTTCCGTTTTTCAGTCTCTGCTGACACCAGCTTTCACCTCCCTGGCAGCGTTCACTGCCTGCCTGTCCACGCTCCCATTTTCCACGCCTGTCTTTTCCCTGGGAGTCCTGGCAGAGACGTTTGCTCCCTGCCTGCAGCTCCTGAACAAGTGTTGGATTAAGTTTGTTTGAATTTTAATTTCTTAATTAAAATTTTATAAAAATTTTAAATTAAAATTTTTCTATTAATTTTGTTACACTATATTATAAATATTTTTAAACGAACAATTTAAAATCACTTCTCAAAAATCTTACTACAATATATTTTTCATAATTTGATTTCTCTAAAATATCTAATCTTATATATTAGATTAGATTTGAAATATCTAATCTTATTTATTAGATATTAAAATAGCTAATCTTATTTATTAGATTATTAAAGTTATTTTTTCAAAACTTATTTCTAGTTCTACTTCCCTCTTAATAACGTTTATCTTATTCTATAACATTTCTAAGTCAATATTTTTTATTCCAAAATTTATGTACAAATATATACCATATACTTTTTCTATTAAATTGTCTACAAATTCATTTCCCACTAACAAGGTGCCAAGAGCTGACCTCATTGTTTCCCAGCAGGAAATGGATTTTGCCAGCAGCTGGAAGTTCTCAGTGCCCTCGTGCCATGGAAGTTCTGCACCCTGTCCTGCCTGGAAGTGCTGGCCACGAGGCAGCGCTGGGGTTTTTACTGGAAGGAATATTTTTAGCCTGACAAGGCTTAAAAAAAAATAAAATAGAAGTTTATTCCTTCAGACAGTCGTGCCTCGGTCTGTCACAGCACCATCCCAGCGCATCCCCAGCTGGGAATCCAGATGGAGCCAGACCTGGGTCAAGGCTGGGCACGTGTTGGACATGAAAATCAATCACTGCTGAAAATGAGAGGAAGGGGAAGTGTGAAAAACCCGGAGGGTGTCAGACAAGGCTGCCCTGAGAGCTGCCCCAAATTCCAGGGAGGGGCTGCTCTGGGGTGCACCCCTGGATGGGAAATGGGTGCTGAAGGTGGGTGAGCTGGGGTGCCAGGAAAGGAATTCCTCAGTGGCACGGGCAGGCACAGGGGAGGAGGAACATGCACCCCTTCCCCCAGGCTGGCATTTCCCGGTGACCCCAGGAGGATGAGGAGCAGTGTGAGCTGCTCCTGCTGCAGCTGAGGGTGGGCTGGAGAGCTGGCAGACACTAATTACAGCTGCAATCAAGGAGTGGGCAGAGCAGCCTGGTTAGTTATTGCAAACGCAGGCGAGCCCGATGGGAAGGAACGACCACGTCTGACTCAATTCAGAAGGCTGAATGATTTCTTTATTATAACTATGCTAAAATACATTGATATACTATATAAAAGGAGGGTACTAAAACTACATACTACTTTCTCTGACTCTAACTCTCACCCAACTTGTGACCCTCTCCCCAAAACCCAGCCCCAGTTGGAGTGGATTGGATTGACCACCAGGCTCAAACAATCCTCACCAGAATCCGACCAAGCACTCACCGCAGGTAAACAATTCTCTAAACACATTCTACATAGGAAAAACAAGGAGCAGAAATAGAAATTGTTTTCTCTTTCATTTCTCTCTGTGCTCCTCTATAAAAAATCCTGAAAGGGAGAGAAATGTGCTTGCCACAGTTAGCAGGACCTCCTGGCCTGGTCTGGGCTCTGCCTGCTCACCTGGAGCTGCCTCCCGGACCAGCTTGAAACCCAGAAGAGCAGAAATCCCAGTGGAGGGTGTGCAACAGCTGGATTTTAGGATGAGGAGGCTGCAGGAGGCCTCAGGGCATGTGGAGGATGCCCGAGGATGGCTGGCTGGCTGGGAAAACCTCTCTGCCTGCACCTCTGCCCCAGCACCTCTGCTGCCAGCAAACATCAAGCGGGTGCTGCCTTTGTGCTGCTCCTTTATCGAGCCCCCTGCTAAATAAAGACCTCCAGCCTCCCAAAATCCTCATTCCCAGTCTCCCAGCCGCCCTGCAGAGACCTTGGCTGTGCTGCCCAAGGCAGCAGCAGCCAGGACAGGGAGTGGAGGTGCAGTGGAGGGCGGATCTGGGACTCAGAGAGCGCCAGAGCAGGTGATTATTTTATTCTTTTGGGGGCAGGAGGAAGAAATTGCCATGTGGCACGGCCTGGCTTTACCTGGAGGGTGCAGCTGATGAATAGGAGTGTTTTACTTGCCGCAGGCTGAGCCACACAAAGCTCAGGAGAGTTTTTTCCTGAGCTGCTCCATTAACACAAACAGACAGCAACGCGAGCTGCTGACACCGGGGTTAATTAAATCCATCTCTCCATCAATTCTTATTCAGCTATTATCGATGGTCATTAGATCAGCGACAAAGTGACAAGCAAACAGTAATAGACTCATCTTAACCCTTGTGCTGCCGGAGGAGGGGAAGTGCTGCAGGTGAGGGGGGAGGTAGTTTCTCTGCTCAAATTGTGTCTGCTCTCCCTTCGAGCATCCCACCTGCATTTGAGTCCTCTCGGTGGCCAGGTCACCAGCCCCATTCCTCCAGCAAGGAGGAAGAAGGGACACATTCCTCCTGTGTCCCTCTCTGTCCCTCTCCCACAGCGTCATGGCCCAAGGTCATACAACCCCAGAAGGGTTTGGGTTGGAAGGGACTTCAAGGAAGCCATGGGAAAGGACTCGTTCCACTATCCCAGGCTGCTCTAATCCCTGTCCAACCTGGTCTGGGACACTTCCAGGGATCCAGGGGCAGCCACAGCTGCTCTGGGCACCTGTGCCAGGTTCCCACAGGGATGCTGGGGACAGCAGATGCAGTTGGTGACACGAAGGCTGAAAGCAGCAAAGTCCCACTGCCATGGCACAGAGAGGGCAGGATGCTCTGGGGCACCTGCACCTTCATGTTGGTCCCCTGAGTCCCAAAATCCCACTGAGTCCCAAAATCCCTCTGGTCACAAAGCTGCCCGAGTCTGCCAGGCAGAGCAATGGGGTGATGCCACCCCCGGCAGAGCCCACAGAGCTGCTGTGCACACCTGAGCAACCAAACAAACCACGGAATGAAAAAAACCTGGATAACTCCACCCGTGAAAGGACTAAGTAGAAGGGATATTGAGCTCCCAGAGCCATTCCTTCTTGCAGAAGGCAGAGCTGCTCCCCCCTGCCCCCACGCCCGTGTCCTGCAGGCCCTTCCAGTGCCACTCACACTTTTCCAGTCAGGCTCACGGGGAAAAGCTGTGGCTGCTGCTGCTCTGCTCCCTCTCCCCCTCTGATTAACAGCTTAAATGAGAACTGAAGGCTGCCCAAGGGCTGCAATACATTTTCATGCTCGTGCCGCCGCAGCCAGCAAGGCAATGTCCAGCTCCCTTCAAGGTCACTCACAACCTTCAAGTGACTTTCCAGTGCTTGTGTCCTGTGGTTTCAGCTCCTGGAGTCCAGAGATGGGAGTGCTGGGGCTTGGTGCTGGCCCACGTGATGATGGGTTGTGAAATGTCAGCAGAAAAATAAACAGGTAATTTTGTGCAGGTAAATAACTCACATAGATTTTTTTTTTTTTTCTCTGCTTGGAAATCATAGAATAGCTGAATGGTTTGGATTGGAAGGGACCTTAAAGATCACCTAATTACCTAATTCCAACACCCTGCCATGGGCAGGGACACCTTACACTATCCCAGGTTGTTCCAAGCCCCTCCAGCCTGGCCTTGGATACTTCCAGGTGATGCCTTGTGCAGGCTGGCCTAGAGCAGAGCCAGACAGAGCTAAAGAATAAAACAGGGATTTATTAGAAGGGTCTCCTCCATGGATCCACCTTGGGCAGCACAAGAGCCCAGCCACGGCTGCACCCAAGGTGAACCAAAATGGTCACAAAATGGTCACAAAATGGACACCTGGTCATGGGGTCTCTTACTGTGATCAGTTCTGCTCCATTGGCACCTTGGAGTTCATTGTCCCATTCCAGCTTTAGCCCAGGCAGTCCCATCCTGCTTGTTTTTCTCTCTCCAGCCCACGGTGTTTGTGCTCCTGGGCTGAGATTTGGATCATTTGTCCTTGGTCCCCAGCTAGAGAAGGAATTGTTTTTTCTCCCTACTCTGTGCAGAGCCACCATCCCCTGATATGAAGCCCAGACCCACACACTGAAGCAGCACAGAATCTGAAAAACATAAAAACTAAACCTGAGACATCACAGGGATGGGTCATCTTCCACCCCTTTGTGCCTGTATTTTACCATCCTCACTGTAAAAATATTCTTAACTGTGTGTAAGGTGACAGCCTTACATACAATAAACACTTTTAAAAATATATTTGTTACTACTTTTCTCCCGCTACAATCCTCCTTGTTCTTGTGCTGTTGGAATTGGTGTGGTCGTGGTGGTAGGGATGTGATTTTCTGGAGAGGATGCCTGAAATCCTTCCTTGCAACCTTTGATGCAAGGACAAGGTTTCTGAGTGCTGGCACTGATGCCTCAGGTTTAGCTTTTATATTTTTCACATTCTGTGCTGCTTTAGTGGGTGGGTCTGGGCTTCATATTAGGGGATGGTGGCTCTGCACAGAGTAGGGAGACAAAACAATTCCTGCTCCAGCTGGGCACCAAGGACAAATGATCCAAATCTCAGCCCCAGGAGCACAAACAATGTGGGCTGGAGAGAGAAAAACAAGCAGGATGAGACTGCCTGGGCTAAAGTTGGAATGGGACAATGAATTCCAAGGTGCAAATGGAGCAGAACTGATCAAAGTGAGAGACTCCATGACCAGGTGTCCATTTTGGGACCATTTTGGTTCATTTGGGTGCAGCCCTGGCTGGGCTCTGGTGCTGCCCAAGGTGGATCCATGGAGGAGATCCTTTTTATAAATCCCTGCTTTATTCTTTAACTCTGTCTGGCCTCTGTTCCAGGTCAGCCTTCACAAGGCACCAGCACAAGTGCCCACCTGCACTGGCAGGGGAAGTGTGTGCTCCTGCAGGATGTCCAGGGATTCCTGGGCACAGTGAATGGTTCAGTGCTGGCTCATGGCTCTTCAGGACACGCTGCTGCCTCCTCACTCTTTTTGTGGGGTTCAGAAATTTCGGCACATGCTGCAAATAACTTCCTTTGTGTTTGCACAGCAGCTTTTACCACCTGCAGGAGCTGCAACGTGCCCCAGAGCTGGTGCAGAAACAAGTCCTGAGCTGCTGGAGCCTTCCTTGCCAGAGTGAATACCCAGGGTGAATGTGTGACACACCTCTGTCTCCAAACACAGCCCTGCTGCTGAAGGAGCTCCTGGATGGCATCCCAACACACAGCAGGGGTGATGGAATAGCTGATCTTTAATGTCCCTTCCAGTCCAAACCCGCCTGGGATTCTAGATGTCTCTAATTGTTGGATTAAGCTTTTTTCCTGACTCAGAGATGGGGCAACTGAGAGGTGTTTTAAAAACTTTTATTCTATTTTTAGTCTCACGTGAAGGGTGGGACAATACAGATGTTATAATTCACACTTTTATAATTAGAAGCCAACTGTTTCTTCTATCAAACTTTAAGAATTCTCTACAAATTCATTTCCCACATCTAGTCATCCCCCTGTGCACATAGCCAAGGTGGTATTTTATCCTTGCTCTTCCTAAGTGAAGGGATGGATACAGGGTGGGCACACCAGGGAATGTCCCTAATTCCTGAGGCAGGGGAAAACGGCTCAGGGGGATGAAAGTCGATTCCAGCTCAAGGGCTGACCTGAAGGGGCAGAATAATTGCCCCTCTCAGCACAGCCCCTGGTCCAGGGAAGTGCCTGTGTGGGGTGGGGAACCAGCTGGGATCCATCCCCTTTTCCAGCAGGGAAAGGGAAGAGGTGGCTGGGTGTGAGCAGGGTGCAAACACTGCTGAGTAGAGCCCGAGCTCCTCCCTGCTCTGGGAAGGGACCATGGCTCTGCTCAGCAGCTCAAACCTCACACACATCCCTCCCCAAAAGGGAAATAATTGCCATATTCATTTGTGGAGGGAAATAATTACTTCATTCATGACACAAAGTCAATTTTTGTCCCGAACCAGAGGGAGCCCTGTACTGACAGAGGGAATTTGAAGGAGAGCAAAAAAATCAGCCTGGCATTTGTATTCCCAATTAAAGGCGAGAAGGAGCCTGTGGTGAGGTTGTGGGGGCTTTTCTTTTTCACTCTCCCTCTGTTTTTTTGCACATCAAATTAGATAACAGCTAAAATGTTCTGGCTTCTCCAGCTCATGCTGGGGGGAGAGGAAAAGTCTCCTTTAACTTTGTTAGCTGTACTGAAATCAAAAGATGACTGAGGCAGGAGCTCCTTCCTTCCCTCATTTCATGGCAGCTGGGTGAGGAGCGGTGGCCAAACAGGGCAACCTGTTGGTCCTTCAGTGGGGCCAGGAGAGGCACAGGCAAGTGCTTCACACAGCTGAAACTGTTTATAGGGATTGAAAGGGAAGGGATTTTTAAAAAAGCACCTGGAGCCAGTGTGCTGTAGGAGATGGTGTCGCTGTGGGGTGGGAAATGGAGTCCTGGGTGAGGAGGACAGGGCATCCTGCAGTGGGAGCAGGGGGGAATTAGGAACTGGAGCCTTTGGAATGGCTGCTGAGCTCTGGGATGGCTCCAGATCCTTCAGAACTGAGTGCCCAGCCTCTCGCTGCAGAAGGCATCCCACGCCCCATGTGGATTGTCCCCCAGAGTCACTCCGGTGTCCCCTGCTCCCGAGGGAAGCTGGGGCACTGCTGGCTCCCCTGGGCCAGAGGGAAGGGGATGTCTGCACAGGCTAGCTGCTAGCTACTGGATTATGGGAGAAAAGAGGCAACTGAAGGTGTTTTTTTGTGCAAATAGATGTGTTTTTCCCCATCTGCACCACCATGGTTGAAGGGGTGATCTGTGATAGAAAATTGTCGAAACGTTGATGAATATTTCAGAAGGAGCCACATACATTGTACAGGCCTTTTTTTAAATCTTTAACCAAATCTTAAATCTCTGAGAGGGGTGTTTAGGGGTTTGTTCAGCAGCAGTGGGAGCAGGGAGCCCAAGGGGGTCTGGGCTGCGATATCCTTGCATGAGGCTCAGCACTTCCCTTGGGACGGGGCTGTCCAGCTCAGCCAGCACCACAGGGAATGTCATGGAATGCTGCAATGGGTTTGGAATCCTATAATGGGTTTAGAATCCTATAATGGCTCAGAAGGGCCCTCACAGACCATCGACTTCCAACCCAGATATCCTTAAGGCCCTCCATATGGCGAGCTTTTCCTGCCTCCAAAACCAAGTGCAGAATGTAAAGATCTGGCTCCATCCTCCTCCCTGCATCCCTCAGAGCATTCCCAGCCTGTGTTACTCCTGGGCACTGGCTAAATGCCCTTCCTCAGCCTCACATGCTTGAGCACAGCCCTCTCAGAACAGGTTTTCAAAGCTGTTTTTTTCTCCTCCACGTTGACTTTTAAGCATCAGCACCTGGCTCCAGCAGGGAGGTGGTTTGTCCTTGTTGGAGGGATCTGAACTGGAGGTCTGGGGCCAGGCTGGGAACAGCCAGCCCAATCCATGAGCATTTGCACCACGGGGGAAGCAGGGAGCAGCTCACAGCCTGGTGAGTGGAAAAGTCTTGCTGGCTCGTAGCTATTTTGAGGTAAGGCATTAATTGAGGACCAGGGGGAAAACAATAAAACCGTCCCCGAAATAGAAGCTGTCAAAATGTCGTTGCTAGGAGTGAAGCTGAGCCCAATTTATGGTATTTTCTTCCTGTTGCAGAGCTTCAAAGCAGCTGTAAGGGGGCCTGGATTTGGGGGTTTCTTTGCTCCCACCAAACCCAAACTTGCCAAAGATGTCCCCAGTGCCCAGAGCCGGGCACGTGGCAGGGCTGGTGCTTCTCCCTGACATTTAGAAGGTGCCTTCAGGGCCCCTTGCATTTGCTGCTCCAAAGATTTGCTTGTTTATTTTGGAAATTAGCAGCCTTCGAGCTTTTTTATTGAGAAAGCCTCTAAGAAAAAGGGGATTTTTTCACGTGGAGGGAGGATTGCCTGCAGGACAAGGTTCGGAGGGGTTTTGCTTCCAAGGTGAGGAGAGAGGGGAGGGGTTTTGAAGGAGCAGTTTTGATGTTTCATGTACAAAGGCAGTGTTAGTGCAGTGCTGGGTGCGTGGTTCTGGGAGCAGGAGCTCCTGCTGCATCAGTCCTGGGGCTGGGACATGGGGAGGATCAGCATCCCAACAGGACTGGCTTCTCCCAGCAGCCCCAAGTGGGAGCAGGGTGGTTTGTGCTTCTCCCACCCCACCTTGCCACTGCAGGAACAGCATTTCACCTGAAGAAGCAGGATGAACACTAGTGAGGGCAGCAAAAAGCCTGCTCTGCTTCCTGGCTGGGCATGTGTGGTGGCCCATGAGGGCTGCTGGTGTCAGAGCCCCTCCTGCAGAATCCTTTTGGGTTGTTCCCATGCCACAACTTCCAAGGACCCCTCAGGAAAAGCATTCTCTTTCCACCAATATTATCTCACAGCACTTGCCATCTTTTTTTCTCCCCCATGCAGAACGCTGCAAACCGAGACCCCCGAGGCGCCCGTGCAGCGCCAAGACAACTCTGGTATCTCTCTTTTAAAGATATATTTTCCATTTTGCAGTGTTCAAACACCATCTGCTGTTTTGCACGGCGGCGCTTTCACAGGAGGAGAGCGTTTTTAGGTGTAAATTGTTCTTTAAAGTACATATTGACAGTGCTGGAGGCTGGAGAGGCTGGAAAAACCCTACAGAAAGTGCCACAGGCCTGGGCTGTGATGGCCACTCTCACTGTGGGGACACTCCGTGGTTCGATGGGATGTTGGGAAGGAATCATTTTCTGTGAGGGAGGCCCTGGCAAATGTGCCCAGAGGAGCTGTGGCTGCCCCTGGATCCCTGGAAGTGTCCAAGTGGTGCAGCAGCCCCTGGCCCAGCCTCTCCAGGAGGATGCTCCCAAATCCCTGCCTGGCTCAGGCACGCTCCACCAACCACCCCTACCCGAGCACAGGGAAGCAAACTATGATTTTCACATGGGATCTTTATGTTTTCTCCCATTTTTTCTATTTCATCTTCTCTTTTTTATTTTTTTTTTCCCTTGCTGTTCCAGGTTCTCGCTGGCAACAACAGCCGTTGTGTTTTGACGAGTTAATAAACATCTCCCCCAGGAGCCAGGGAGCTCCAGCATGCTCTGCTTCACCCGTGTTTTACGTCTGGACTAACAGAGTTTGCCGAGCAAGAGGTGTTTTTCTAATCTGAGATCTTAGTGGCTCACGTTTCCCACCTCTCCCTGGAGCTGCTGCGCTTCCCTGCTGCTACCGTGATGTTTCTGTTATCTCCTGGAGGGCAACCATGGCTGCAGCCCCCCTCTCCTTCCTGCCACCCCCATCCCACGTTATCACTCGGATCCTGTGCCTGGAAACGTTTATCAGCCTCGGGAGCTGAGATACCAGGGCTCATTTTGCTCTGGGACCTGTGTGCTCCCATGGCACAGGATTCCCTTCATCACCAAAACCAACACCAACGAGCTGCTGCTGCTGAATGCCAGGGCTCTGCAGTGTGGGAATCCAGGGCTTCCCTCTGGCTGCCCTGGCTACCCTGGGACCCTGGCAGGGGTCAGGAACCCCCCTGGACAGAGCCCCCAGAGACACTGGCTGTGATCTCTGTCCATGGAAAAGAGTTTTCAATCTTACAGGATGAATTACAAGCTCTGAGTGTTTGATAAGAGTAATAATTAAGTGTGACACGGGTGCAAAAGTAAAATTTTAGGATTCTAGATTAGGGGTTCAAAAGGGGACAAGATGGAGGAATTGGGTGTGCCTTGTCCTTTTTCTCCTTCTTCATGCCCTCCATGTTTCACTGTGGTGTTGGCATTTTTCTGTTGGTTCAGGCTGGGGACACACTGTTCAACGTAGGTGACAGATATTGGCACGTTATTGTAAATCCAGCACAGGTAGTTTCTGGTATTTAATGTTTGTACCATCCCACTGAGGGCAGAGCCCCACACGCTGCCCTGCAGGACAGAGCTGCGGCAGGGCAGCAGAACATGTTAGAGATAAACAGAATAAACAACCTTGAAACCAGCACAGATGAATTATGGCTTCTTCTTTGGCAGTGGGGCTGAAAGACAGAGACTTTCTACAATCATGGAATCATCAATACCGTAGATTCCGACACTGCAGGGCTGGCACACCTTGTCCTGCTGCTCCCAAGCACCTCCATCGCTGTTCCACCAACACCAAGCCCCACAACCTGTGGGTTTTGCCAGCCTTGCGGACCAAAACCCAAGATTTCTTCATCATTTTCAGACCAGTGTGTGGGGAAGGCCTCGGAAACCTGAAGAGGGAAGCTGCTCCAGACCTGCTGTTACTGGGATGCCCCTCAGGGCTGCACCCAGCTGGAGGTGGCTGCTGCCTTCGTGCCTTTTGGCAGGAAGCATCGAGTCCTTGGCCGTGGCATGAGGCAGCCCCGGGAAGGCGGTGCGTGGTCCACGGAGCCAAATTGCCAGTTCTGACTTGTAGAACATGATTGCTCCTGAATTATGGATGGTTATTGCACCTCCTGGATGATAAATTATTGAGCTGACATGCTGGATGGAGAGCAAGGAGCAGGGGCCCTGCTCATGGCAGGCGGGTCTGGAATGTGGTGTCTTACAGGGGGTGGGGGAGGTTTTCCCCACTTTCCTTCCTGAGCAAGAGCATCTCGGCCTGAAGCTGTGGGAACAGCAGAGCCCTGCCCACCCAGCCAACTGTGAGGGCAGCCCCAGCCAAAAATCCCTGGTGAGGGATCCTGGGCAATCCCTGCCCTGGGACATGGACAGGAGCTCCGGGCTCCCCTCTCTGCCTGTCCTGCAGCATCATCACGGGCACTTCTGAGCCCAGGAACCTCTCCTTGCCCTCGGGGGGATGTGGGGCATGGTTTATTTGGCTGATTAGGGGCTATTTGTCTCCCAGGCTGTGGTGGACCAGCACTCCTGGCGAGGCACGGCAGGTCTGCTGAGCCCCTTGTGCTGCCGGCAGCCCTGGGCTTTAGGGACTCCCTGAGGTGGCTGTTCCATCATGTCTAACAGACCTTGACAGACCTGTGTGCCCTGGGAGTTTGCCTAAATGCTTTCTGGGGGCCACTTAGCCTGTAGGTCTCCGTAGCACCCTGTGGCAATGAGTTCCATAATTTAATCGTGGATGGCGTGGAAAAAGCGCCGTCTTTTGTTTGTCCCTAAATCTGCTGCCTGATAACTCGATTTGGACACCCCTAGTTCCTCTCTTGGAAGAAATGGGGAATTATCAGTGTCTTTGCACCTGCTCCACAACACTGTCCTGCTGTGGCTTTTCTTTCCCTCTCCCTTATTCATCCCTCCTGGCAATTTCCAGCTCTCCTGCCAGCTCTGCTTCACACAGAGGATGGAGATGGGAAGGTCCCTGCTTTGCTTCGTGGCTGTACTGATCTCCTTCTCCTCTTCCAGATGCTGGGGAGGCACCACTGACATCGGTCCAAGTGCTGACAGCTCCCTCTGGAGCAAACCCTGCTCTCAGTGAACACCCCCAAGGCATTTCCTGGTGGTTTGGAGTGCTCACTTCCTTCCCCTTGGTTCCCTGTGGACGTGTGGAGCTGTTCCAGCCACCCCTTTGGTTCCCTGTGGATGTGTGGAGCTGTTCCTGCCACCCCTTTGGTTCCCTGTGGACATGTGGAGCTGTTCCTGCCACCCCTTTGGTTCCCTGTGGACATGTGGAGCTGTTCCTGCCACCCAGGACACAGGAAAGGGTTCCTGACGTGGGTTATGACCACCTTGGGCATCTCCATCTCCTGACCAGCCTCTCCTGGTCCCAGGGGAGCAGCTTTCACCTCCACCCTCCTGTGGGACACAGATGCTGTGAAGCACCATCCAAGGTGGAGGAGAGAGGTGACACCAGGGTCCAAGAGGACACAGGGGGAGGGTTTGTGTCTGCCTCTGCCCATGCCCAGCAGGATTTCCATCTCATCTCAAGCTGAAGCCAAGGAGACTCTGGAGTGGAGAGTGAAGCGCTTTCCTAATCAAATCACACGCCAGCGTCACTTGTAAAGCTCTGCAAAGCAGAAAGGACTTGGGAGCCACTGAACCACAAACTCCTGCTCCCTCCCCAGTGCCTCCATGGAGATCCTGCCTCTCTCCTCCATCTCTTTCCCATGAGCTCAGTCTGGGAGGGAGGCAGGACTCAGAGACCCCACCTTGTGCCCCACACCTGCACTCCAGGTATCCCATGGGCTGGAGGATCTGGGGATGTGTAAATGGTGTCTCCATTGTCTGGGTCTTCATCTCGGGGTGTTCTGCCCTCTCTGGTCATGTCCCTGACAGGGAGGGCCCCCTGGGCACACATGCTGTCCTGTGTCAGAATCTGTGGGTATTGGTGATTCCGAGATTGTAAAAGTCTCTGTCTTTCTGCCCCGCTGCCAAAGAAGAAGCCATAATTCGTCTGTGCTGGTTTCAAGGTTGTTTATTCTGTTTATCTCTAACATGTTCTGCTGCCCTGCCGCAGCTCTGTCCTGCAGGGCAGCGTGTGGGGCTCTGCCCTCAGTGGGATGGTACAAACATTAAATACCAGAAACTACCTGTGCTGGATTTACAATAACGTGCCAATATCTGTCACCTACGTTGGACAGTGTGTCCCCAGCCTAAACCAACAGAAAAATGCCAACACCACAGTGAAACATGGAGGGCATGGAGAAGGAGAAAAAGGACAAGACACACCCAATTTCCTCTATCTTGTCCCCTTTGGACCCCTTATCTAGAATCCTAAAATTTTACTTTTGCACCCGTGTCACACTTAATTATTACTCTTATCAAATACTCAAAGCTTGTAATTCATCCTGTAAGATTGAAAACTCCTCTCCATGGACAGAGATCACAGACAGTGTCTCTGGGGGCTCTGTCCAGGGGGGTTCCTGACCCCTGCCAGGGTCCCAGACCTGCCAGGGCAGCCAGAGGGAAGCCCTGGATTCCCACAGTCCTGCTAACCAAGGGGGTCTCCTCCATCCTCAGCTCCCACGAAGGTGCTGCATCTTCTCCTGAGCCTGGCTCAGCTCCCTCGGGAGCCCCCAGGTATGGAATGTGCCTCCCTGTTTGGAGGGGAGGGGCAGCAAAGCCCCGTGCCTTCACCTCCCTGCCCTCAGCCTAAAGGGGAAACCTGGGGAGCACCGCTATGGGGTGGGGGAGCCCATGGAAAGGGGAGGGAAGGGAGGGTGCTGGCTGTTTCACCCTCAGGGAGCATGGGAGAAAATCAGCAGGGACTCATAGAAACATGGAATGGTTTGGGTTGGAAGGGACTCTAAGGATCACTTTGTTAACCCCCTGCCATGGGCAGGGACACCTCCCACTGGACCAGGTGGCTCCCAGCCCCATCCAGCCTGGCCCTGGACACTCTGCCAGACAGAGCTTCTCCGTGCCACCCTCACAGGGAAGAATTTCTATCTTGCAATCTCCTCGAAATCTCCCCTCTTTCAGCTTCAAACAGTTCCCCCATGTGCTATCACTGCTGGCCCATGGCAAACCGAGGGGACACTGGCTCCACCCAAAACACACTGCTCCACCTGTTCTGCAGTAAAACCTGTTTTTTCCTCCTCCCAGCCCTTTTCTGCCCTGTGTAGAGAAGTAAATTCCCTGTCCTTCTCGGGCAGCATCCAGGACTTCTCCGTGGCAGGGCAGCAGGTCTGTCAGCAGGAATTTCTGCAGCCTCCTTTGGTGGCTCCCAAAGCTCCCAGGTGAGGAAATCATCAGTAGTAGGGGGGAAAAAAATAAATGAAATTAACCACTGCTAGCTCAGTGTTTACTTCGTGCCTAGTAACAACAAGGTCCCTGTTAAAATTCCTTCTTTACAAAAAGCAGAGGGATTTCAGCCCGGCTGCATTCCCAGAGGAGGGAAGAGGATTTTTGTGGGGCAAGAGGAGATGTGGCAGGGTGAGCTGGTGGGGAGGCAGTGCCAGGGCATCCAGGCATCCCAGGGAAATCTCTGCAAGGCTTTTCCACGCTGGGGAAGCCTTTCCCAGTGCCTTGACCCCACGTTATCAGTAGCTTTGCTGCCTATCCCCTCTTTTTCCCCTGCGTGCTGGTCTTCAGACGCTCTCTCCTTCCTAATGCCTTATTAGCTGGCAGGACTGTTTGTCCCGATAGCACAGCTATGGATAATGCCATGCAAATTACCTCCAAGACCTCT